ATGGAGGGTAAAAGTCCAATACCTAACTTTGCCAAATAAGCCGATTTGGCCCATGTTTTGGACTTTTCCTACTAATTAGACCCCAAGGACTAGGAAAAACACTTAAAACCTAATTAAAAACAATTAGGGGAAAAAATGGGAATTTCTTGTTGCAAGGGACTGCTGCACGAAATGTGCTCATAATCAAATAAATTTTTATCTTGAAAAGTTACAAAGCTACAAAGCTGAAATTTGGCACGAATATCCACATGCATAATCTAGACATTTAGAAAAAAACTGAGCTCAAAAATCTTCCATAGGGAAAAAGTTAGCTCAGGAAAAGTTGCCGATATTCTGCTCTTATATGCCATATGGAGGGTAAACGTCCAATACCTAACTTTGCCAAATAAGCCGATTTGGCCCATGTTTTGGACTTTTCCTACTAATTAGACCCCAAGGACTAGGAAAAACACTTAAAACCTAATTAAAAACAATTAGGGAAAAAAATGGGAATTTCTTGTTGCAAGGGACTGCTGCACGAAATGTGCTCATAATCAAATAAATTTTTATCTTGAAAAGTTACAAGGCTACAAAGCTGAAATTTTGCACGCATATCCACATGCATAATCTAAACATTTAGAAAAAAACTGAGCTCAAAAATTCTCCCAAAGGGAAAAAGTTAGCTCAGGAAAAGTTGCCGATATTCTGCTCTTATAGGCCATATGGAGGGTAAACGTCCAATACCTAACTTTGCCAAATAAGCCGATTTGGCCCATGTTTTGGACTTTTCCTACTAATTAGACCCCAAGGACTAGGAAAAACACTTAAAACCTAATTAAAAACAATTAGGGAAAAAAATGGGAATTTCTTGTTGCAAGGGACTGCTGTATGAAATGTGCTCATAATCAAATAAATTTTTATCTTGAAACGTTACAAAGCTACAAAGCTGAAATTTTGCACGCATATCCACATGGATAATCTAGACATTTAGAAAAAAACTGAGCTCAAAAATCTCCCATAGGGAAAAAGTTAGCTCAGGAAAAGTTGCCGATATTCTGCTCTTATAGGCCATATGGAGGGTAAACGTCCAATACCTAACTTTGCCAAATAAGCCGATTTGGCCCATGTTTTGGACTTTTCCTACTAATTAGACCCCAAGGACTAGGATAAACACTTAAAACCTAATTAAAAACAATTAGGGAAAAAAATGGGAATTTCTTGTTGCAAGGGACTGCTGCACGAAATGTGCTCATAATCAAATAAATTTTTATCTTGAAAAGTTACAAAGCTACAAAGCTGAAATTTGGCACGCATATCCACATGCATAATCTAGACATTTAGAAAAAAACTGAGCTCAAAAATCTCCCATAGGGAAAAAGTTAGCTCAGGAAAAGTTGCCGATATTCTGCTCTAATAGGCCATATGGAGGGTGAACGTCCAATACCTAACTTTGCCAAATAAGCCGATTTGGCCCATGTTTTGGACTTTTCCTACTAATTAGACCCCAAGGACTAGGAAAAACACTTAAAACCTAATTAAAAACAATTAGGGAAAAAAATGGGAATTTCTGACTGCTGCATGAAATGTGCTCATAATCAAATAAATTTTTATCTTGAAAAGTTACAAAGCTACAAAGCTGAAATTTGGCACGCATATCCACATGCATAATCTAGACATTTAGAAAAAAACTGGGCTCAAATATCTCCCATAGGGAAAAAGTTAGCTCAGGAAAAGTTGCCGATATTCTGCTCTTATAGGCCATATGGAGGGTAAACGTCCAATACCTAACTTTGCCAAATAAGCCGATTTGGCATATGTTTTGGACTTTTCCTACTAATTAGACCCCAAGGACTAGGAAAAACACTTAAAACCTAATTAAAAACAATTAGGGAAAAAAATGGGAATTTCTTGTTGCAAGGGACTGCTGCACGAAATGTGCTCATAATCAAATAAATTTTTATCTTGAATAGTTACAAAGCTACAAAGCTGAAATTTTGCACGCATATCCACATGGATAATCTAGACATTTAGAAAAAAACTGAGCTCAAAAATCTCCCATAGGGAAAAAGTTAGCTCAGGAAATGTGGCCGATATTCTGCTCTTATAATTCCACAAACCAACACGACTTTAGAAAACAAATTCTTTCCGTCTTTATTCAGCGAAATGGTTTGGAAGCTGGTTCAAATCCGATAGAGACCATAAAACACCCCGGCGAGTTTGACACAATGTTGAAAACGGTTCTGTATCCCAAAAACTACGATTCAGTTTCGGGATGGATTCCCGATGTCGGTGACGGAGATGTTTTAAAAGAACCGGTCAGAACTGTAGCAAATGACGCAGACCTTGCTAGGATAAGGGTAGTTGCTAGAAACACACTGGAAAGAGTGACTCGCGGAGTAAATCACGGATTTGAAAAACATGCGCTTCAATACAACAATGTTGTCGAGAACAACAGATGGGGTAATTACGTTAATTGGAAGTTGTATCCTTTATTTGGTCTCTTGGAACACAGAAAGGTTTCCATAGGTTTACCGTATAAAATTCATTTGCAAAGAGAAATCAACGACAACAAGATATTCTTTGGTGAAAACAACTCTGACGCAAAATTGGAAATAACGAATATCCAACTTTACATACCGGTAATCACTCCTTCCGTAGAAGTGGAAACGAGAATATTCAACTCTTTAACCAAAGACATCGAAATTGCTTTTCTTCATCGTAACACGGTAGGTAGCATGACTTTAACGGGAGAATCCACCACGTGGCCAATCACCAACACCGTCAAACCAGCGAGATATCTAATGGTCGGTTTCAAAAACTTGCCAGACTCTCAGACAAACAACAACAACATTTTCAGAGTGGCATTGAACCATACTCAAGATCCCATCATTCGCAAAGTTCAAGTCAGATTGAACAACGATAATTATCCCAATCAACTTTTGACAATTGATCCTTCCAAAAAAGATTACAACGAATTGTACAGAAACTATAAAAACATGTGCGAATTGTTTGGAAATACGCCTCAGTTTGAATACACAGATTTTTCACTCAATCATCCAATCTTTTGTTTCGATCTGTCAGCTCATCAAGAAGATCTTTTCAAAACAGGGGTAAACATAAATATTCACACCGATAAAACACAAGGAGATATGACCGGCTACTGTTTATTGCTGGAAGAAGCAAAACATTTGATTAAAATATCAGATAGAAGAATGATAAGAATTGAATAAAAAAACACCCTTTAAAAATGAAACCAGAAACTTTAGTTATGAAAATAATAGAAGCTATGGAAACGAATTCGCCGACTCTAATAACTTACAACGGTAAAAAAGTGCATATAACCCAAAAGATTATCGATAAATACAAACATTGCAAAGTCAGAGACGATATAGACTTGGAAAGAATTGATGAGAATTTAACTAAAAAAGGTGGATTTTTACCTTTCTTACCTTTAATCTTTGCTGGTTTAGCTGCAGCTGGTGCAACTGCTGGTGGAGCTGCTGGGATAGCCAAAGCTGTCAACGATAAGAAGCTGAAGCCGCTGCAAACGCCGAAGCACGTAGACACAATTTGGCAATGGAAAGAGAAGCACGAGGAGGTTCGGGAGTAGGAGATATATTAGGGACGGTTAAAGAATTCGGACAAAGATTTGGCGAAGAAACCAAGAAAACCGTTAAAGAGGGATTAAGCAAATTAATAGATAAAATCGACACCGGAGAAATGAAGGTCAAACACAAGGGCAACGCCATATTTTTAAAAAACATACGTTCGGGCGAGGGAATCTTCCTTTCAAAGTATGAAGGCAACGGAGTGATTTTTAGTACGAAAATGTAATAAATAAAAATGGGCAAGAAATTCAAACATTCGGACATATTTCCTAGTAACCCAATGCTCATGTGCATTTGCGGTAGTTCAGGTTCTGGGAAAACTCATCTCACTTTTAACATGTTGACAACACCAAACCTTTTAGATTTCGATTCTCTGTATATCTACACAACAACACCAGAGCAATCGTATTATCAATTCCTCAAAGCTTTAGAATATTTACCAAAGAAAGACGTTCAAGACATATTTCAATATTACGAAGAAAACGAAGAAGAAGTGGAAATAAAAGATATCATAGAAAACTTCATTAAATCAAAGAATCCATCTTTTAATCCAACGGATATAAAAGTTTTTCTTACGAAAAATGTTAATGATCTAGACTTGTCTAATATTGATAGCAATCGAAAGAACTTAATATTGTTTGACGACTGCGTAGCGCAAAGAAACCAAACTGTTCAACAAGAATTCTTCACCAAAGGAAGACATCACAACTGTCACTGCATATACCAATCCCAATCTTTTTACGGGATGGATTCTATGTTCATTAGAAAAAATGCAAATTGTTCTTTATTATTTGAATTAAACGATAAAGATTTATCTCAAATCATTCAGTCTATAAATCACGGAATGGATAGAGATACATTTAAAAAGGTTTGTAAAGCTCAATGGAGAAACCCAGATGGTCATGGATATGTATTTGTAAATACTAGAAAACCTGCGGGAGAAAGAGTTATGATCGATATTATGTTAATTTTATTTTTTTAAAAATGACGGATTGGAATAATTTTTTAAAAAGAAATAGAGAATATATCAAAGCTAAGAATAAAATTTGAACCCAAGTTGAAAATAACAGATTGCAACAACTCGGATTAACGGAAAATCTACAGACTCTATTTCAACCCATATTAAAAAGTCAAGAAGATATTAAAAAGAGACTCGTTATAGAACCCACCCCTCGTATAGAACCCAAAGCGATTGAATATAATGGTTTAATAATTAAGACATTAGATGATATAAAACGTCTTTTTTCAAACCTTTGTTCTTTGTTCTAGGTCTGAATTTTTGTTTATTGAAGAGTTTTACAAATTCTTTTTCTTCTTCTTCTGGTAGAAACGGTCTTCCACTTTCCGCTCTCGGATATTCACTGTCTAAATCCGACATGGCGGAAGCGTATAAACCGTTAGCATCAAATGCCATTAGTTTGGTACATTTTTTGGTATTTTTGTAAGTCTCGAATGAACCTCCGTTTTGTCTTTTGTCCTTGCGCTGTATTCTTTGAATAAATCAATTATGTTATTACTTTCAAGTTCTGTATATTCCTTTAATACGTTACAAATTTCATCCATTTTGTTCGTTTCAAATGATTTTCTATTTGCCGAAACTCTTCCTCCTTTAATAGATCGTCTGATAAAATTTCTTATAGAAGGATTAGTGTGCGAATAAACTTTTTCTACGTTTTCTTTTTCGGTATGTTTCGCAACCATTCTAGTAGTTTCATACCATTCTTCTTCCACCATTTCTTTATCGTAATGATATAAATAATACCAACCCTTTAAAGATAAAGATGGAGCCGTTAGATTATTGAACATATTCTGGTTTACAACTTCTTTCGTCACTTGGTTGTATTTTATCAAAAAAGACCCTAAACAGAGAGTGTCTCTCTTTGCGTAAGGTTCCCATTCGTGTCTCAATTCCTCCCAGTTGTCTTGCGTGTATTTAGCGATATCTACGTCGGCAATCTTTCTCAAATTCGCGGGAAGATTGGAAGAATTTCCCCATGCAGCCAAACTAGAGGATTCGTGTTGGTAGGAACACGTGAAATTAATATGTTGTAAATAATTACCCTTTATTTCTTTCTGTCTTTTCCATTTTTTCTGTAAATCTTCATCCGTGTATGGATTAGATAAAGGAAAAGATAGAATTCCTCTGGGTGTTTTTAAAGGGCAATGAGTTAGTTTTTTTGCATTTTTAAGCACGATCCAGTTGTCGAATCCACTGCCGTTATGAGAAATTAATATTAATCTCTTTCTATCATATTGACCTAAATATTTCAACATTTGATCTATACAATCTGTACCTACAAATAGTTCTACTACATTCATTAGTTTATCATAAAATTCTTCTGGAACATTGATAATGTTTTTATTATTAAGGATTTATATTTGGAAAGATATTTTTTATCGTTTCTAACTTTTTTCTTAGTTTTTCTAAATTAATTAAGGTGCAGGCATAAGGAATTGCTCTTCGTGTGTCTCTTTCTGAATACGTTTCGCAATCCCAAGCGAATAACGCATCATCACTCATACTCGAAAGCACGTTTAGTTTGAGAGGTGAAACCTGTGTTACTGCGTTATCGTCTCTACACGTTTTCCACACCTGTTCGTAATTGTCTTCTATTTCTTGAATTCCCAAACTTTTTTGGCTTCTTCTAATCAGACAGAAATACGAGTTGTGTAAGTAAAAAACCCAATCTAATTCATCGTGAACGTCTCTGGGATGAAAATGTCTGTTTTTGGGATTATAAATTTGAAACGAAGTGTTGAATTTCTTGTTGAATTCCTTCATTCTAGCACAAGTCATCACTCCTTTTCTATTTGCTTTTGAAAACCCGTTGATGTATTCTTGAAATTCTCTCGTGTAGTCTTCGTTTAAAACACGATTGACGCATTTTATAAAACAGTGACCATCTGTAGGTATGTAACAATTTTCGCCTTCGTATTCATTGATCTTTTTAAGCAGATCAGTTCCTCCTCTACCAACTCTCGATCTTTTATTTCTTGAAAATTGTCTTTCATTAAGATTATTTTTCCTGTAAAATACCAATCGGAAGCATCGGATTTTTTGTCCATATTTGAAAAGATATTGGGAAAAGATTTGGCATTGAAACCGAGGAGTGACATGTATTGTCTGTGATTCCCTTCCTCGACTATATCTCCATCTATTTTAATTTGTCCTTTGAATGTTTTAAATATATCAGAGATAGCCTTGATAACATCGGAAAATAAGGCGTTTTCTATCAATGTTTCATCGTCTGCAAGTTCGGTTTTATTCATATTTTTTTAAGTATATATTTTTGATTATTTCTTTATTTTGACCGCTGATATTTCTGTATGGAATTTGTCCAAAATTTCATTGAATTCTTCTAATTCTTCAACTGTTATGTTCTTGTCTTCGAAAAAGATGTACAATTGATTAAGATACATATTCAAGATATCCGTTTTCTTTTTATAATGAGCTTTCTTTTTGCTCGTGAAACCTAAAGTGATGAGACCGCAAGAAGTCGTTTGAACGGCTGTTAATGCAGCCAATACGGTTGGGACGATGACCAGAAGCATTAATCCACCAGTCACGGCCGTTGCCACCGTTACTCCTACCGTTAGAACTGTGCTCGCTGTTTTGAAAAAAGAATCGATTCTACTCCATGTTTTCCTGCATGTATTGCACTGTCTCAACTTTATTTTCAACTCTTCTTGTTTGTCTATCATGTATTGTTGTCTGCTTTCGAGTTCCATTTTTTAAGTCGTTAAATTAGGTGAATTTCCGATAAATGGAACCACGGAATATCGTATAGAGCGCGCTTGTTTGGCCTAGCATTATTATATTTGCGGGTATTAAAAGTAAAAACATTTACGCGTACTAACGACATTTCTTTTTTCGTATGATCCTCTTTAAGATGATAGGAATATTTTATTTTTTTCTTTTTCGATGTTTATCTTGGCTCTAAAAATAAAACCACCACCTTCAAGGACGGAGTCTTCGATAAATGCACTATAAACTCTCTTTCTTGTTGACTTTTATGAACATCGATCGAGGTGTATTTTTCACCTAAAGCGAAATACAGTTTTACGTATTCAAAGTCTGTTGTTCGTAAAAACTCGTGATTGCTCGATTCTATTTTTCCGTGTACGTGTAAGCGTCGTGGAATTTTGGCAATGTTGGTTGATGGTGGATTTTCCGTCTCCAATATCATATCTAAATCTTTGAAATCAATGATATCCTTATCATTTTCTACTTCCATTTTAAAGGTGTCTACATATTTACCATTTTTCGTTTCAATTTCCTGATCCCTTTTATCAATCAAACGTATATTCTCTTCCAAATTACCGTCATTGAATAATGAAATATGTTTGACGGCATTACCGGTTTGTTTGAAGACTACTTTATTGACTTTAACCTTCATGGGAAACTCTATTTGAATCAGACAATTACCTCGAAAAGAAAACTCTTGCGTTTCGCCGATATCGAATACGTTTTTAGGCTCTCCGTATGCGAGAGTACCCACTTTTATTTCTGCTTTGAATCCGTATTTGTTTGATTTATAAATTTGGTCTTTTTCATCGAAGACAGTGTCACTTTCGAATGGAAGATTGAAATAATACGATTTGTCCGTGACAATAGCTTCTAATTTGGTCAACTTTCTCTCTTGTCTCAAAAAATCGTCATGAATTCTAGATACCAAAAGATTGACCTGTTCTTTAATATAATTTTTCATATCATCTCGAAATTCATTTTGAAGAAAGTTTTTAATCACACGCACTTCTTTTTCTAATTCGTCCGTGATTTTAGTATCCAAAGCAGTCAATTGTCGTTTCAAGGTATCTTTGTCAATGGGAAGTGTGTCAATTATATTCTGAACATCTGATTTTTGCTTCGCGATCTTTTCGTTCAAATTGGATATCGAATTTTGTAACTCGGTTATGTCCGCGGTCTTGTCTAGTTCTGCTAGCAATTCGCCAAGTTTTCTTTCCAAAGCGGTTAGTTTTCGTTTCAATCTATCCTCGTTTACATTTGGGTTGTCTATTAAACGTTGGACGTCTATTTTTACCTTCGTAATCTTATCGTCTAATTTAGATATTAAATTTTGCAACTGACTTGTTTTATCCACTTGAATAAGACGTTTCAAACTCGTTAACTCATGTTGTAGTTTGGGTTCGTTCACAAGATTTTTAATATTTCGCCTGAGGTATCTTTTCACGTCATTTATTCTATTTTCAACATGGTCCTTATCTATTTGAATTGCGTTTATTTGATCCAGTAAATATTTCTTGTTCACGGCATCGTTATCGTTTCCTGGAAACTTTAAATTAGTTATTTTGAAATTGTTCATATCGATATCCCCTTGTAAGGTGTCTCCGATTTGATCCACGAAAAAAGGTTTCGCTTTGTTTATAAACGCCGTCATGGGATGTTTGGATTCTAGAGGTAAAGACCCTAATCCAAACTTGTTTGCCATTTTTATTGAGTTAAATTTATTATAATTTCTTCAAACTTTTCTCCCAAACTCATCCGATATGAAACCCAAAGCGACAGCTGTCCACACATCTTTTGTCCTGGCATTTGAATTTGAAACGTAGAACATTTGATTGGTTTGCTAGTCAATTTCGTAATCTCTTCTGTCAGTTCTAGACCGAAAGAATCAAAGAAATAAAAATTATTCGAAGAATCTTTGTGTAGAGCAGAGTGATGAACTCCTTTTTGATCCGACGTGTGAATGTTTGTGATGGCGTAAAATTTACCTTTCTTGTATTTCAGTTCATCAATTTCATCTCGCATGCAATAATAAAACGGCGATACGTTCAATTCCTTGACCCATTTCACAAGTTGAAAGTTTGTGGTCGTGTCTTTTCCGTATTTATCGAGAAATGCATTCATTTTTTAAGTTGATTTTTTTTAGGTGTTTTTCGAAGTAGGCGGTAAGTATTGCTGAAGACCCAATTGACGAAATATATACGTAGTTTGTGTTTGAAAAACCTTGTATAACATTCTGATAAAACACATTCAATAATATTTTGAAGATAAATTTACATTTAAATTTAAAAAATCTTAATTTAAGAGAGCGTAAATGCTTGTCGACTTCTAAATTTCTTAACCTTTCATCTAAATCTTCATTTTCGAGATTCATTTTTAAAAGTCAGTTTTTTGAAGTTCATTTTGATAAAACCTTCCTATGATTTGTTCTTTGTCTTGATCGATCAATTCATACGTGGGAGGTTATGTGTTGTTTACTTTATCAACGATGAATATCTCGTTAGTCCAATAGCCGACGTAACCTTTCTGAAATGATTTATATTTAAAAATACGAACTCGATCTCCAACTTTGAATTTGGGTTTAATATTCAAATTGCTAATCTCGTTTTCAAAGTTGTTTCGAGTGTTGACGGACTTTATGATATTCGGGTTATTAGAGGCTTGCGTTGGCGTCACACCTATAGACGAATGTATTTTGTTATTGTATTCGTCGACAACAACTGGTAATATCTTAAGCCATTTTTGAGATTTCAATTCCGTGAATTTCTTGAATAATTTGCTTTTAAGAGTCCTGTTGAATCTTTCTATCACTACGGCCTTACCTTCGTTATGCGTGCTGTAAATTTCAAACCCCCGAGATTTCACATTTCTCTTGTAGAATTCGCTTCCTTTATCAACCCACAACTTTGGGGATCGTCTGTCGGATTGTTTTATTATGGTTTCGAATGCTTGTTTGACAGTCAGACCCGATTTGTTTTTCAAGGGAAAGACCCAAGCGTATCTCGTGTATATGTCGATCACCGTCAAACAATACTTGTACCCTCTCTCGACTGGCATGTTGATTAAATCGGCTGACCAAATTTCATCTTTATCAAAAACTTTGACTTTGAGGTAACGTTTGTTTTTTCGAAATTCTTTGTGAATCTCGTCTGCTATGCCCATACCCAATTTCAATTTTGCCTTCAAGAGTTTTATGATAAGAGCCCTTTGTAATTTCTCTTTGAAAGTGGGATTGGGAATATTTTCGAGTTCGTCTATCATTTGTTTGTCTGCTTGGAGTCTGAATGTTATGTCTTTGTTTCTGTACAGTATGTCGTGTTTGAGCGCTGCTGCGTCAACTCTATTAACGGGTTCTTCCCCTGGTTTGGGATTATCATTTTCGTCTAAACGCAGATCTAACCTCGTGCCTGGACCTGTATAATTGTGCCCTGGGAGATGTTTTTCTCCGGGATATTTTGCCCATGGGAATCCAGGAAGAGAACCCAATGACTTTTGAATGTCTCCCGCACCGAAATACGTTTTAGGAGGATGGACATTTATTAAAGACATATTTGTTCAATAAACACCATATATT